TGTCCTTGCAGGCAGTGCTGGTGGCTCGTGCTCTTCCCTTTCCAGCTGTAGGGCAGCTGTGAGCCCTGGGAGCTGCCTGGCACCACCAGTGGGGTCGGGGCAGGTTGGGTGTCCCCCACTTTCCACTTTGGGAGCATGTTGGGATTGCCTCTCTGTTAGCAAGGACTCTGCTGCTTTTGACTCTAGATCCTTGAGGACTACCTGCTGGTGGAAGATGTGCCTCTGCTGGAGGAGATGGCTGAAGAGGATGAAGAGCTCGACCTGTACAACGAGATGACTTTTGGGCTAGGTAAGATCTCAGGGGAGCCCCAGTGTTGGGAAGATCAGCCAGCACCCAACAGGGTGAGGAGGATGTCTCCCTGCCTGGTGAGAAGCTGGGTTGGGAGCAGGGACCTTAGTAGGCACTACCTGGGTTCTTACCCACCCTAACATGCTCTGCTTTCCCCCCTGCAAGACCGAGACTCCACTGAGGAGGACACCATGAAATCCCTGATGCCTCCAGAGATAAGCCCCGAGCTGGCCAAAGCAGTGGCAGAGGAGACTGAGGCTGGGGAGGAACTGGGGCTCAGAGCGGCTGAGCAGCTGGAGGAGCTGGGAGAACCCCAGGAGGAAAGTGGGATGGAGCTGGAGGTTGAGAAGGTCGGCTCTGAGTTGGAGGAAGAGGAGGAGGAGGAGGAGGAACTAGGGACTGAGGAACAGGAGGAAGACCAGGAGCCCTGCGAGGAGCCAAACGACCTGGGAGACCCGGCGGTGATGAGAGCTGTGCAGAGCAAACCCACGCTGGAGGTGATGTGTGAGCGGAGAGGGAGGGGACTCGCACCTGGCCAGCAGGCAGAGGGGCTGGTGGGGACCCGCTGCTTCCCCCTCCATCCCCTCACCTGTGGGTCCTGCCCCATGGAGGGCACCAGGGGATAGTCTGTTCCCTATCCAAGGGAGGAAGACCCACTGTGGCAGGGCTGAGCACGTGCCTGTAACTTTCTCTTTGCTTGCAGAGCCAGGACTCAGCAGTGCTGGACAGCAGGATTGGTGCTTCCTGGGCAGAGTTCGGCAAAGAGGACCTGGTAAAAATGTCCCCTCTTATCCAGTGATAAGGCTGAGCAGCAGCTGCAGTGTCCCCTGCCCCATGCTGACTGTCTCTCTGTCTTCCAGCTGGCGATGGATCCTGCTGCGTGGGGCTCCTGCCCCAGCAGCATCCTACCCCACCATGTGCTGGAGGTGGGTACCCCCAGCCAGGCCCTCGGGGAGTGGCTCCCAGTACCCTGAGCCAAGGGTCTTGCAGGTGATTTGGGGTGACTGGGGGACCTCCAAAGCCTTGTCATGGGTCTGGAGGCGCACAGGTATGTCTCTTGTATGCCAAGGTTGTGAGTGGAGGTGCCCACCCTAAGCAGAGCCTGGATTTGAAGGTAAAGCTGTTGAGTTTGAGGGGTCTGGAACCCCCATGCCGGGTATCTCTGTGGGTTCCCTGCTGTTGCACGCTGCCAGGGTGGGAGCCTGGCTAGTGCGTGGTCTGGCTGAGCAATGACCAAAGGTTTTGGTGAGCTACCCGATGCTGGGGGAGCTAAATTGATCCCGGCTGGGCCCTGTTCCCATCTCTTCCTGTCTCCTTCTTGCAGGATAAAGCTATCTTCCAGGTCCTGGAGAGGCCCCCACCATCCACCAATGTGGCCCTTGACTTTCTCCGCTGCCCCATGCAGAGGGGCTATGGGGGGTCTCCCCGGCTCAAGCGCCCTGACTTAAGACTGATGCCCCCCAAGTCCTTCCCACAGCGCTTTCTCCGGCAGGTAATGGGTTTTGGGGAGCTCTTGCATCCCCTCTTTCTCTGCCTTCCCCTCCCCAGAAGTGCAGCCTTGAGGACAGGCTTGTCCCAGCAACACCTTCCATGTCCTGCCCTGCAGCAGTCACCCCTGATGCCTCGCTCCCCGTGCTCCCCTCGGCCCTTCACGCCGGCTCGCAGGACCTCTCCGCTCTTCACTTCTAACCAGGTAGTGCAGCAGGCTGCGATCCACCGCCATGTCCCCTCTGAGGTGGCCATGGAGTGGCAGGGGCTGGAGACAGTACCTCCCTAAAGCCCTGCTGTCTAGGGCAGACTTTGCAGTTCTGTCTGATCCTGAGCACCTGTCTCCAGTGTCTTGCTGATGGGAAAGTGGAGCCACAGGTGTAGCCATTGCTTCGTAAATCTGCTTGTCCTGATGTCCCCACAGGACCTGCACTGGGCATGGTGTTGTGCTTGGTGTCACGCTGCAGTACTGGTGATGGACCTGGGGCACTCAAGCCCTGGTGACACCTGGGCCCCCTTGCATTGCTCAGTTGTAGTGGCAGGATCCTGGGGGGGTATCACTTTGCTGTGGTGCCCTACACATTCCCTCTGTGCAGGGAGAGGGTTGTCCCTGTGAGGATGGGAGCCAGAAGCCAGCACGGAGCTGGCAGACCCCTCCGGGACCCTCGGAGGAGAAGCCTCAGACACTTGATCGCTCCTCTCTCCTTTCCAGACCACAGGGTACGCTTCTCCGGCTCCTTTCCGGCCCATGTCGCCCAACATCGGCAGCCCACCGCGGCCTCTCGCCATGCACTTCGGTCCCATGTCTCCCTCTTTGGACCCTGCTCTCTTCTTCAGTCCGTCAGCCAGTGGCCAGCTGAACCTCAGGTAGCAGGATAGCAAGTGGGGTGCCTGGGTGGGAGTGGAGGAGCCCCACAGAGCAGCTGGGGGGTGTCCCCCCCTCTGGTGATGGCTCTAGTGCAGGTGCTGAGCCCCCCGACCCCCATCTGATCTCCTTTGCAGTGCGCCCAGCCATATGACCCAGCTGCACCCCCAGCACCAGCGGATGTTGACCCAGCGGCAGCAGCAAGGCGGGCAGGCGCAGAGGTAAGGGTGTCCCTGAGGGAGCTGCGGGGACGTGGGGGGGGCTCTGGGCAGTCACAGCAGGCTGCGATCTTCTCCTGTACCAGCATCTCTGCCAAGAAGCTGTGGTCTCCTAAAGTGGACCCTGATGCTGGGCTGATGACCTCCAAGGAGAAGGACTGGGTTGTTAAGGTGGAGATGATCCAGCTGCAGAGTGAGAACATGGATGATGACTACTACTACCAGGTGAGCTCCTGCAGGCAGCACCAGTGTCTTATTCTGGTCCTCAGGGCTGGGACTTAATCTCTTTGGGAGCCCGAGGGTGCCGGGGCCTGTGGTGCCTCCCCTCCTGGCTACACCTGTTGTTACAGACATACTACCACCGGCTGGAGCGCAAACAGGCAGAGGAGGAGCTGTTCGGTGGGCGCAACAAGCAGGAGCCCACCAAGCTGGTCACACCATTCATCCAAAAAGTGGAGACATATGACTCTGGTGAGGGGCTGGGTGGAGGGCGGGGAGCTGGATGAAGGGTTCCAGGACGTGGTCTCACCACATCCCGTCTCTCCTCCAGTGGTGCGCATTGCGGGCTCGCTGGGCCAGGTTGCGGTGTCCACCTGCTACAGCCCTCGCCGGGCTATCGATGCTGTGCACCATGCCCTCGTGGAGGAGGTAGGTGAGGGGAAGCCAGGCTGGTTGGTGCCCCGGGTGCCCAGGGACACTGCTCTGAGCTTTCCCCAGGCCCTGGAGCAGCTTTAGCAGGAGCTTTAAGAGCTGCTGCAACCGAGCATGGGCGCTGCCCCAAGCTGCGGGATGTGGCACACAGTTGGAGCAGGTGTCGCCTTGGTGGTGGCAGGTTGTCCTCTGCCAAGGGGAGCATGGGGCTCTGGGCAGTCAGAGCTGGCTGTGGCTTTCCCATGGGTTTGCTCTGTATCCTGAAGCCGCCTCTGATCCCCAGGGAGCAGCTGGCCCAGTGCTTCGGCGGTGGCTGGTGCTGGTTGTAACTGTTGTGCCTTTCTCCCCTCCTGAAGGCTGCGGGGAGCCACCGGCTTCGGGCGCTGCACAGGATTGAAAAGGTAAGTGAGCTGCAATTTGGGGCAGGGTGGGATGGTGCAGATGCTTGGTTTTCATCCAAGGAGCTCTGTGTGGGGACATCTGGGCAGCAGCCCTGGATAACCAGTTGATAGAAGATGCTCCAACTGCCCTCTTACCCTGTGCTGTTTCTCCAGCTCTTCTTGCAGCTGCTGGAAGTGGAGGAAATACAGCGGAAGATGTCCCTGGCCCCGGAGGAGCAGCAGCCCTGCTGTCAGGAGCAGAAGAGCCGAGAAGTGGAGCGTATCTACCAAGCGTTGAAAATCGGGGCTTGCAGCAGTGAAGAGTGAGTTTGTGCTGTGGGGAAAGAGGAGTAGGGAGCACATTCTGGTCCTCGTGGGCCTCAGATGGTTATGGATGAGTAGTTCTCGGTGACGGGGAGGGTTGGATCCTGTCCTCTGTGTGTCACCGTGGCCTGTGTTGACCCTGCCCATGAGCCTTGTCCTCCACTGGAGCTGGTGCTGGTCCTTCTGGATGGACAGAGATGCTACAGGTCCCTTGGGACCTGTGCCAATGGAGCCTTCATCCCCAGGGAGGCAGAAGATGAGTTCCTGCAGCTCCTGTGTGTGCGGAAGGGCAAGAAGCTCACAGCCCGGCTGCTGCCCCACCTGACCCAGGAGCAAGTGGAGAAGATCCTGCTGACCATCACCCACCACCTGCCCTTCCTCATGAAGAAGGACGTGTTGGACGAGGTGAGCACCTCCAGTTGGGGCAGGGGCATCCCAAGCTGTCTCCTTCCCTGTTGCTCTTGCTGGGGGGGCACCTTGGGCAATGGGGCAGGCCCCTATCTTGCTGGTCCCAGCCTGACCAGGCAGCTGGTGGGGTTGACACATGACAGGAACCTCTTCCCTGGGGAGGAGGAAGATCTCCAGGAGAGGTTGAAACAGTCCTGGTGGCAGTGCCCCCCTGGGGATGGGGGGTGCAGCATTGATCCTTGCATCCCCTGCAGGTGTTGGGATGGGGCTCAGGGATGGGGCTGTGGCCATGATGTGCCAAACAGTCTCAGATCCCTGCTCTCCCCTCTGCCCTGCCCAGTCTCTCCCCCTGCTCTACAGCCCATTGAATGAGGTGGTGGGCGGGATGACCTTCAGCAAACTCATTGAGGTCCTGCGGGAGATGACCAGGCCTCTGCCCGAGTCCCCCGAGCTCCCCCTCACCATGGCCTTGAAGAACCAGGTACGCAGCCCTGAGGAGCGCAGAGCCTTGTGGCATCCCTGGGGTGCCGCTGCTGCTGGCTGTGACGCGCCTCCTGGTGCTTCCTCGCAGTTTGGGATCTCCTTGCTCTACTCCCTGCTGAGCCATGGCGAGAGGCTGCTGTCCTCTGACGCGCCGCTGGAGCCACGCAGCGGGGACTTTGAGACGTGGTGAGTGGCTGTGTGAGCAGCAGGGTTGGGGTTGCTGGCCGGTGGGATGCTCACCCCCTGCGCTGATGCCCCCAGGACGGACACGGTGTTCCTGGTCGCCCGGGAGCTGTCACAAGTGCCGAAGGCCTTGCTGGTGGAGCCTCTCTTCTTGCCCAGCAATCTTCTCTCGCTCTTCTGCCGCTACCTGGACAAGCAGACCATCCACCACCTGGAAGCCAAGATGGAGTG